TAAAGCCTGTTTTGTCACTTTCAAAAGGCAGAAAATATAGCTTCAATGACAGATGTGCTGCCCTACGTACACTATGCACAAAAGAGTACCCAGGTTTATGGTGTCCAGTGGAACAATGGGCTCCCAGGATTCTGGTCCTGGATGCTGTGCCTGCACACAAGAGCATCCAGGGCCTTTGTGCCAGTTGTGAGTGACTTCAGAGTTGGGCTTCCCTATCTTTGAATGATTCAGCATGTGTTAGAGCATATACAGATTACTGAATGTTGGTGCCAGCCAGCAATGTTATCAGTGTCTCCTAGAGTTTGAAAAATCTCTGTACAAGCAACTTTCTCTTCCAACTGAACTGTGAAATAACAACACAGTTCCACGTTCTGGCAAGGCTGGTGGGTGAGTTTTTCTTTCTCTGCCTTGTTACAGATAACACTTTGCAAAATCAGATTAATTTATATTCAGTTTTGCACACAGCTATTGTTTGGTACTTCAGGGCTACCAAGCAAAACTCCATAGCTTTTTGGCCTATTGTATAAATTTAATGAGGCTGGCAGCAGATTATGCTTGGAAACTGGAGGTCAGTCTGGTGGAAATATTAAACTTCAGGGACATTAGACTGCATTAATTTGGTAGTCACTGCACACAATGGCAGACCAGAATAATATTTCATAAGGTCAGAACCTGTACTGCCTGCTGCCATCAGCAAGGCAAGAAATTCACAACATAGCTCCTCCTTTCTGTTTTAACTGACATTTCTCGCAATGCTGGCAGCCTATTCTTAGAACACTGTACAACCCCTGTTTGAGAAACAACCCGTTTCTGGTTTGAAATAAGATAGAAAGGGGAGATGCCTTGCTCATTAAGACACAAGACTGCAATTCGTGAAAGTTTTTCTGCTGGACATTCTTTAAGACCTATTGCAAATGCCTTACAAGGAATCCCTAAGCATGTCTGATCAGAAGTAAATCCCACTGAGGTCAGTCTGATCACATTTCAGATATGTGTGCATAGGACTGAAATGCAGCCTACACCAGATTGTTCATTGAGGCTGGTTACAGGGATCATATCACACACACACCCCCGCCCGTTACAGCAGCTCCATTTGCTGCCGATCAGTTTCAGGGCACAATTCAAAGTGCTGATTTTAACCTATAATGCCCTCAATGGCTTGGCTCCAAACTATCTAAAAGACCATCGTGAGCCAGCTGGAGTGTTAAGATCATCAGGTGAGGCTTTTCTCTGGGTCCCACCACCTTCACAGGTGTGTCTCATGGGGAAACAGAAGAGGGCCTTCTCTGTTGTTGCTCCCAGACTTTTAAACTCCCTATCACAGGAGGCCAGAGTGGCCTCATCTTTGCTGGTTCCACAAGCAAGCAAAGACCTTTCTCTTCAGGCAAGCTTTCTCTCAGTGACTGGCTACATGGCTGCCTACCTGAGTAATCATTAGATGGATTGTTATGCATTACTGCTTTGACTAGGTCTACTTGTGTTTACTATCTCTGAGTGGTATCTGTTTGTTCCTTTTTAGTATTTGCATACTTATTGTAAAAAGTAATACAGCATATTTTACTGGCCAAATGTCAAGATTGTTGGGACAATACCTGTAAAACACCTTAAACATTTGCAGTTTTCTAGGCCAATTAATATTGTTAATGATGAAGAAGAGAATAATTATGAGTATCAGGACATTATAATTTCTCATTTATCCTCACAATTTAAATATTGCTGGAAAGCACTGAACAGGAAGAATTCCCCAGGGTATGACATAGGTCCCTTCTGTCCTGCAATGCAATCATATAAAATGTAAATGTATGGACTTCTTTTGCACAAGAAACCATAATATATTTGAACATCTCTACTGAACAAATACTGTAGCTAAACTCCTTGGGATTTCCTATCAATAGGTGCCTGAAGCTAGACTTAATCAGAGTATTCTCTGTGAATAAGCACATTGTCATTGTGACAAAGGTCCCAGAAGCGTGATTGAAGGAATGTAAAGAGCACAAGCTCCTGAGTCATCTTAATGGTATGAGTTTATCATTATAAAACAGAAACAGCAATATTTGTTGGAGGCGGGGATGTCGAGTTCTCTTAGCTTTTTTCAATGTTTTATAGGTTCAATAGTATTTATGGGAAGAGAGAAAGTACAAACAGATGTATGTGCATGTGTGTATTTACCACCTATACATGTATACATATACTGTATATCACCATATGTAAGGTAATTTTTAATGAGGGATAGCTTTAGAGGAGGAAACATACATTTACTTATTGGCTGAAATCCTGTTGTGGCATAACTTTTAGAGGTGAATTTATATATTCCTATGTTGTGGCATAACTTTTAGAGGTGAAGAAATCTCCTCAGACCTTGTTTATTGGACACCAAGTCATATGCATTAGCATCCAACGGATAATGCCTACAGAGATGTCTTAATTTATGGCAATTTGCTTCCAAATGTTATACAGTTTGTGTAACTGCATAACAGGATTTCAGCCAATGTGTCATTTTATCCTAAACCTGGCTTTCTGTTGATTACTAGCCTGACTTCTTGCTATGAATACAGATATAGTTTCCTAGTTTTATATTTTCAATTGCTAAACCTAACATATTTTGCCTAGATTATTTTATGCACTGTATAACACTGGTCCCCAACCTTGGGCCTCCAGATGTTCCTGGACTTCAACTACCAGAAATCCTGGCCGGCAGAAGTGGTGGTGAAGGCATCTGGGAGTTGTAGTCCAAGAACATCTGGAGGCCCAAGGTTGGGGATCACTGCTGTATAACAGTGGTTCTTAACCTTTGTTACTCAGATGCTTTTGAACTGCAACTCCCAGAAACCTCAGTCAGCACAGCTGGTGGTGAAGGCTTCTGGGAGTTGCAGTCCAAAACTCCAGAGTAACCCAAGGTTAAGAACCAGTGCTGTATAACGTTACCTATATCCCTCTTTCTTTCTCCAACTGAAAATGTCTAAAGCAGCTGAAACCAATATAAAAGCAAGAAATCAAGCTAATAATTATCAGGCAGGAGATTTTGGGTGTCACAAAAGGGCCACAAATGTTTAATTTCTTGTTACCATATTTTTACTGCCATGTAGAGGAAGATATGCTTGTGAGAGTTTCTACCTTAGGTGCAAAAAGCAACTTGGTTGGTTTGGATGCTCTGCCTCTTAGATTTGCCATTTGCTGCTCCATATCAGGTGGCACAATATGTTGGTGATAGGAAACATCACCTGAGAACTTACAGTTTCTGCACAACAGTTTAAAATGGGCCTACTAAAAGCAAGTCCAAACACATCCATTATGAAGCATTCCTCAGAAATTCTTCTGGTCTGGATGTGGGCAAGGCTGCAAGCAAAGGGAAGCGCACCCTTTTGACAGGAACTGATTGTTTGAACTGGACTCATGGGTGGTAACAGGCAAAAAGAGTCCTGTCAACTGATTATGAGCATGTTGATTTTAAAGCTTCACATTGCACTTTAAAGACTTAAACAACAACAACAAACTGCTACCATTTCAAATATGTTAACTTTAAAAGTATGAATTCTATGCATGCATGGCTTCAAATTATTTAACTACATGAACATAATTGGGTGTGTACTGAAAACCTCTATTACTCATATGGCTGTCAGAACAATGTGTTCTCAGTATACCTGTCCTAGTCTGTTCAGTAAATTAACAATACTTTCTTTACCTACATGCTGTTCTATGTACATCACAAACAGAATCACATTTTAATAATAGTAATAATAAATTAAATTTGATCATGTCGCTTTTATGTTGATGGCAAACTGCTTTCAACATTTGTCAGAATGTCAGACGACAAATTAAGGAGAACATAAATCAGGGTAGGGCTTGGGTTGCAATCCTATAGTACTCCCAATACCTTGAAGCAAGCAGAGTGGAACATACTTCTGAGCAAACATGCACAGACTCAAGCTACATGTCCCTGTGCAATTATGAAGCTGACTGAGTTGTCTCATGAACAGCAGAGCTTCAGAAGTTCCTTTGTTCTACTACAACTCTCAGAATCATCAGCAATGATACTGGTGGTGGGAAATTCTAGGAGTTGTAACTTAAAACAAAACAAAGCCCTTCTGTAAGTTCTCTCTCTGACCATGGGATGATATGGGAGTGATTCTAGACACAGGATTCCTTAATGACTACTCTGTTGAAATACATTTTGCAACCACCATGTCTTACTGATAACAAGAATTAGGTTTGAGTTAAGAAAAACCAAGAGTTAGTGTGAAGGAGGGGACAAATTGGAGAGTGAAGGACAAGGACTCAGGAGCCCTGGATTCAAATTCCTGCTGAATAACAGAAACTCACTCTGTGTGTGTGTGGGGGGGGGCACTGGGAAACCATTCCTTAAATATCTCACACACCTCAAAACCCTTTCAGAGTTGCCACAAGTCAGATTCAACTTGATGGCATATAGCACACAACTAAAAAAGACGAATGATTACATATGGAGCACAATGATATGTGGATATATTATCAATTAGGAGACCTGATTGGTCTTTTAAAGCCTCTTCTGGAAGCACATGAATAACATGCAAGAGCAACCACTTTTATTTGTGTCTGTTCAAAAAAACCATGATTTTGGTAGATTAATGTCCAGAATGTTTTTCTAGGAATTTTTGCCCCTCTTTCATATCAGTTGCCACACAGTGGTAAACACTCTGGCATATAAATACTGTATTGGATCTCCCTGAATATTCGTGTACTTGTATGACTGACTGCTATACTTTTGCTAGTGATGTCTCTACCCCCACTTCCCCAATCCCCAGTCTCTATTCGTCCCAACGGCTTTTAGCCAACATTCCAACAAGTTGAATAAGCCATGTTGATTTTCAGTGCTAGACAAGATGCTACAGTCTCACTTACCTCATTTCATGCTACGTCAGAGGTTCCAGATTTCTACCCTTGTAATCTGTCTGAGATCCTGTCCTCTTTGTCATGTGTCTTTCCCCCACAAAACTGAAAGAACATATATATATTTTACTCACCTATTCCTGAATGTTTAATTAATTCCAGGAGTTTTGCCAACAGGATGTTATTCACATATAGCCACAAATTCTGTCCATTCTTTACGGTGGTTTGGGGAAATTCTGAGGCCTGGATTGGGGAAATCCTTGCAAGAAACAAGCCTCGACCTTCAGCCCAGCACCTCTGTCACCAGCCTCTGTGTGTTCGAAAGCAAGGTTTTACCAAGCACTGTTTACTTAGTTTCCAGAGTCACAGCAAACATGATTTAAAGCAACAGGTCCCTTTTATTCAGCTAAGTTAATGCAAACACTCTGCCAAGTGTCATTTGTGCTGCTTGAAGGTTTAGCCAAAAGGCTTAGGCAAGCCAAACACCCTTTGAATAAATGTCTGGGTGAGGACCTGAAAACCTCACTGTTGACATGTGATAGCTGCAAAATGACTGAGTCAAATAGTAAAGTAGTTTATGCTGGGGCAAAATATGCTAAAGCTACTTAAGGTATTGCAACGTGACTGTTACTCGATTTGATTTCTTTAAAAAACAAAGCAGTTATTGCCATTTTTTCACAGTATTTGCAGCTAATGTTTTTAATTTGATTCTATGAATGCTTGCATTGACAGAGGATAAGAATTTCCATTTCAAGTTTTTTGAAGCCACAGACCAGGAAATAACGAATGTTATAAGTGGCCCAAAGATTCATTTGATGTTTGTTTCTTTTTATTTTCTCTCTTTGGGTAAACTGGAAAGGAATGGGACCAAAGAATAAATCTAGAGTCACGAGCACTAGTAGTATTCTCAAAATCTACAGTCCGAACTTGGAAAAGCTATGGTCTGGAGGACTGCAATTCACAGAATCCCACATCAGCAGAGAGAGATTCTCAAGTTATAACTTTAAAAAAGTTTTGTATTTCTGCCCACATAATATAGAGTGCTATGAAAGGATACATTTGTAAATTAGCATAAGATAGTGCAACAACAATCCCAAAACTATGCCCATTACATAAGTGTAATAAAGGCCACAACTACACTTACAGAAAGGACTGAAGTCCCCTTGCAGTCACTTGTGTCATTTCACACAACACAAGCTGTGCCATGGTTCTGAAAAGAGTACATTGGCACTTCTTTAAAACATACCAGGGCTTTCGTCCTGGCTGGCCAACATTGGGAAGCTTCCCAGCTACAGAGAATCTACAAATCGTGCCAGGGTAAGAGGAGCTGCCCCGAATCAGGAACAGTGTTAATACCCTAACAGTGCTGTTGAGGTTTCCCAGCCACTTCGGCACTGGTTGGCTAGCAAAGTTGTGGGTTGTTGCTTTTCTGGGTTGAGGGCATCTCCAGTGGCTTCTTCTCCCCTACATGGCAAGCAGATGAGGCTGCCCTGTCAGCAACAGTGGGAAGCCTCCCAGCCTTGGCCAGCCTGCAGCCTGGGGACTGCCCCAATTCCTGCTTAAATACAAGGATTCACATTCAGGCAGGATGTATGAAACAGGTGGTTTCATGCCTGTGTTCAGACAACCTACAGTAACAAACTTACTGTGAGTTATTGGAAACATGTAGTTTCTGCCACAGTAAACGAAGGTATGGCTTACCTGTTAGCTCTAGAGCGGTGGTTCCCGACCTTAGATCTCCAGATGTTTTTGGACTAAAACTCCTGGAAGCCTTCGCTATTAGCTGTGCTGCTCAGAATTTCTGGTAGTTGTAGTCTAAGAACATCTGGGGACCCAAGGTTGGAAACCACTGCTTCGGAGACTAACAATATAGGAAGGTTGTAAGAAATAACCAAAATATTAGAATGGGATCCTGAGTACAACTAGCATTTCAAAGTCAATGTCCCATTATTCGTCTCTATATGGAGACATTTACCCATCCTGGATTCCTTCCTCCCCCCACCCCAACTGCAGTAGCTACCGAAGGCTCTTTCTTAAAGGGTGACACTATAGACTGAGCACAATATTCCAAATGTGCTTCATTGTTCAATGTGCTGTCATTATATTATGTTCTGAATTATTTCTGAATCCCTTTATTAGTGCTCCCACACATCTTATTTGCATTTTTATATTTTAAAAAATCATGTAACTATCATAATGTAAGAGCAGCAGCATAACAGCTACGGAGCAATGAACCTTGAAGGCCTCGATTCTGACCTCACTCACTTGCCTTCCATGCCCCTGCGGCTCCACATGACTCATTGCTGATTTCTGCCAATGAAGCAAGTGGGGAGTCAGGCCCACAGCAGAAAGCTTTTCATCAGCTTAGGAAATGGTTTAAAGCAAATTACAGCATTCAGCATGTCACTTTTCTTTTTCTTTTTTTTTAAAAAGGTAACTTGTTGTTGGGGTTGATGTGAATGATTTATGCTGTCAGTGGTCTTCCTCAGGAGAAATAAAGAATCCCTGTAAACTCTTGTCACTCATTTCCTTTTGCACTAAAGGCAATGGGATTCAAACCTATTTCTGCTCTTTAATTGAGTCCTTGATATACTTTTTCTGTACCAATGCAGCTCTGATGCTTGAGTTTACCCAGAGAGATGTGCAAAAATCTATACAAATTTCTGTGGCCAGAAACCGCCACTTATCACAAGTGGGAACATCTGGCTACCAGATGTTATACAAATCCCACTATTGCCAGTCAACCTAGCCGACAGCTAGGTTCATTCATTCATATGCCACCCACACTACCCAAAGGTCAATGAATGAATGAATGAATGAATGAATCTTTTGCTCCTAGGAAATTCTTCCAAGGGCTATAGGACCATTGATCATTAAAATCTTAAATATTTAATAAAAGCCCTCAGGTTGCCTTTTGTCCTCATGGATACTACATCAGTGCACTAAACAGAAGCACACTAATATAACAATACAACAAAAGACTAAAGATTTTTATTATAATTTTCTGTTTTCCCATCTTGACCATTACTTAACATTATTAATCACCATTGTTTTGAATTGTTTTTAACTGTTTTAGCTTACAATGTTTAATGGAACGCGCACGGTGTAGACTTTGTCTAAAAGGGCGGGATAGAAATCTAATAAATAAATAAATAAAATGAAGCAGAAACTTCATAATACTTATTCACGATATAAAATTATTTGTCTGTCATCTTTGGACTCCCCCCAAAAAGGCTCCAATAGTGATTTTCAATTTAAAAACAATCTTTAAAAGCATGTAAAGCATATTTAGATATTGCTTCTCTCCTCCTCTGGTCACTCTTTAACTGTCCAGCTTGTCTGAAGCCACAGGAAGTGTGCGGGGGGGGACGGGGACTGAATCCCCAGCCCCTGCTTCTGCAACCAGGTGCTCCAACTCACTAAGCTATCCAGCCAACTTGTTGATATTTGGAGGCATCTAAAACAAAAGAGTACCCTAAATTTGATTAAAAAAAAAAAAGATATTGAAATGCCTCAACAAAGAAAAGGTGTTTAACCTGACACTAAATAGATGTATAAACTGAATGACAACTGTATATTATCGGGAGCACATTCCATAGTTGGGATCATGGAGAAATCTTTCGTTACCTCAGGCTAAGACATTGTCTCACCCCTGCCATCTATTGCAAGAAAAAGCCAAAGAGCCAATGTGAGACAAAGTGATAGACTAATCTGGGTTCAAATCCCTACTCAGCTGTTGAAACTTACTGGCAGTGGCAATGGTAAAATGCTTTTTCAACATCTCACACACGTTGAAAACTCTATAAGAGTCACCATAAGTTGCAGAAGCAGCTTAACATCACATAACAATCTGCAATGTATGTTTTCTTCATGAGATTAATAGACAGGAGAACCTCAACTAAATGACTTGGAAACTGGATATTGAAGGGGTGTCTTTCCCAAACCTGCCCAATCATGAAGATCTGTTACAGAGGCCCTCTGTGTCCCACCACTGAGAACAGTTCATTATGTGGAGATGTAAGGGAGGGCTTTTTCTGCTGAAGCACCCCAACTGTAAAACATCCTCCCCTTCAAGGCTAGGCTCAATTGGCATCATTTAGGCAATATATCAAGACATACTGTTCATTAGAGTCTTCAGGGATTTAGGATCATGGCCTGTGCAGGTTTTAGCACAAAGTTTTTAAATATTTAAATGCTACTACTACTACTACTACTACTACTACTACTACTACTACTACTACTACTACTACTACTACTACTACTACTACTACTACTACTACTACTACAGAGCTGGAAGGGACTCTATGGATCATCAAGTTCAGCCCCTATCAAGGAAGCACAGATAAGTAAGACAGGGTAGTATGAAGAGTGAGGCTTTCCTTCTATTCTGATTCACGAGAGGAGGAAAAATTGTCCTCACCACCAAACTTTGCTCTGCTACGTAATAACTATCTGAGGCAAAGCTAGTTTTCCAACTTGTTATACAAAAGTACAATAGGATAACAAAGGAAGTAAATCCAATGAAAAAGTTAACTGTTAACAGAATCATTTCCCTTGTCTTATTCAAGCTATCAGTTATAGAAGCATATTAGAATACTAATTGCTCCTCACATGACTTTTAATAGCGTTAGCATTTTTTTCTTCCTAGAATTAGTTAACCACAATGGAGTATCACAATCTACATAAAAGAGAGGAGAAAGGAAGGACAGTTTGACATTTAACTATTGATTTTGTTCGTCATTTGTCCACAGAAAACTGCAACAAGCCTTTGTCAAAAAAATCCCCAGGTATGAGCAAGCATATCTGCCTCCGAAGAAATGAGGTAGCTAACAGATGTCTTTCATTCTGACAGCCAAGTTCTGTGTGTGCTGCTTCCACATGAAATCTATTCAGGAAAACAATGGGAAGGGTATACTTCATTTTGTCAAGATCACTTGCATCAGAACCTTGGTCAGCACCAGAGGTTGGCAAAGTAAGGCAACTGTTGAGGCCCAGAATTTGCCTTTAGGACCTCTGTTGCTGCCTATGCTGAGCACTGGCACCTTTGTGAAGCCATGTGTGTGTGTTTGCCAGGGGACACTTTCTTCCTTTCTACTCCCTTAGTAGCAACAAACAACAGAAGATGAGACATGAAGGCAAGAAATGGCAGAGGACTTTTCTGGCTTTCCTTCCTCCAACCTCCCCACTATTTTCTTTGCTACAGTCCGTGTTTGGCATAGACCCGCATAACGAAGTTGAGCATGTCTTTCACTGGAAAAGGCTAATGTCAAGGACCAAATTAGACATAATGGAACTGCCGTGAATATTTTGTTCACAGGTATTCTCTGTTTCTTGGCAACTTCAAG